TAAATGTAAGGTATTGTAGGGTTTTGAGAGCAGAGTGAGTCAGATGTGTGCTATCAAAAAAGATCAGTCTGGTGGCAGGGACTGAGAAGGGCTGGAAGAGGGAGAGGTTGGAGGGAAATTAAACGGGTGGGCTCAAAGGAGGAAGGAGGGAGGACTGGGGAGGAAACCAGGTCAGCTTGGGACCCACAGGGGGAGCCGGGTACAGGGCTGCGCCCTGAGCCAAGGCAATGAGGTCAGCCAGAGCTCAGTCCCCTGGCCTGTGGCACTCACTAGGGAATCGGGGCGGGGTGGGCGAACGGGTGACAGAGAAAAAGCCTTTGCCCCTCAGTCCCTGAAGTTCCATGAAGTGGTAAAATTAAGCCCTCTCTAGACACAGCCACTGCAAGCAGGTTTTCAGGTAGCGAGAGGATTGTAAATGGGGAGCAATGCCAATTACAGCAGCATTATCCCAGATTGTAAAGCTTCCAAGAGCTGGCTCACACCTCCAGGCGTGCAGTGCCTGAAACTTCCAGGGGACGCCTGGGATCCAAATGTCTAGGCTGCCTGACACCAGGCCCCGCGGTGGGTGTGGGGTGCCAGGCACCAGTCTGGACCCACCATCTCTGCTCACTTGTCTCTGTTCGCCCAAGAAGACAGGCCACTGTTGGCGGGGGGGAGGAGCAGTAGGACACCCCAGACTCCCACAGCTCTGAGACACAGGGTATGAGCAATTCGAAGCTGACAGGCCTCTCTGAAGGAAATCTGTCCCTTCGTGGGCTTCCTTAGCCTGGGGCACTGGGTTCCTCTAATACTCTTTCCATCCCCCTCCCCACTGCAGGACCCCTGTTTTCTGGCCTACAGAGGCAATGGGACCACACACACAGTTGTAGCCAGCCCAGCAATGCCCCTTCTGGGTCATATGACCTTTAACCATGTACTTAGCTTCTCTGAATCGTAGTTTCTGCTTTAGTTAAATGGTGAGACCAGCCCCTCGTTTCGGGATTAAATGAGATATTGCAGATAAATGGCCCGAGGAATAGAAACCAGTACAACCGCCATGTGTGAGGATTCGGCAGTGGCAGCAAAATTAGTTCATGTCCACACCCTGTCCGGTTTGCAGGTATGTCCAGGGATGTTCCCTGAGGCCCTTTCGGTGGTGTGGGACAATGGTGGGCCCCAGAAAGGCCATTGTAGGAGCCTGATGACAGCAGAGTCAGCTGGCCCCACGGAATCCTTCACTGTGGGCGAGGCTAGCCGCTCTGAGTTGCTGCCACAGGCCGGCCCCTGCCACGTGGGGCAGACGGACAAAGCGAGTGCAAGCAGCACGTGCAGGGGGATGCCATTTCGGATTTTCAGAACTCCACGTAAGGACTACATATCCTATACGTTTGTTTATATATAAAATGCACGCAGATGCATATAAACAGCCTGGAAGAAAATATACCCAAATGATTCAGTGGCCAGCTCTGGGGAAAGGGGTCGGGATGGAGGATTCCAGGTGGCAAGAGCACCGAAGGGAATTTCCCTTTGCTGTTGTTTGTTTTACTGCAATATGCGGCCACCTCACCTGTGTAGACAGACATTAAAAAAATACGTCTACTGCCAAGTGCACAGAGTAGGGCCTGACCCAGCTAAGAGGCTGTGGTTGGAACTGCAGGGCCGAGGGCCTGGGAAGGAAGGGATCTCCGTGCCTCATGCCGATGTCCCCAATTCTTGGAGTCTGGACTCAGAAATGACGAGTGACATCCCCTAGCATCCAAGAGGCACAGAGAGAGACACCACTCCACCAGCCCAGCTGGGCTGAGGCCAAGGCCCACCTCTGCTGGCTGAGCGTTCTGCCGAGAGAACTATTGAACTACATAAAAATCCATTCTGGAAACCCCAGAGGCATCCTTAGAATGGAGCGTGGCCTTTAAATTAGAATGTTAAAAAAAAAAAGGAAAAATACAGGGCAAATTTGCCTGTAACTTGATTTCAGGTTAGTGAGGGCTGGTGGCCAAAAAGCAGCGGCTGTGCCTGGCAGGGCACCCCCACCCCTAGCCAAGGTCCTGCAACGTTAGCTGTGAAGGTGGGGTTCCCCGTGCCACCGACACATGTTCCCATGGAAACTCTGCTTTTCCAAATCCTCTGGAAATTGTTGCACGGGAGGGGCCACTGCTTCCCACACCCACTTTGCAGTTCAGTTTCAAGGGATGGTTTTCTCCAGCAAGTGCTGAGAGGAGCAAGAGCCAAGGGAGGGGTGGAGCCTGCACCCACGGCCAGGGTGGGGGGGTGGGCAGGCCATTTCTGAGCTGCTGCCCAGCAGAGGGGGGCGTAGGGAGCACTTGAAATGTTTCAGATGCCCGGAGGCTCTGAAGCAGGCGGCAGGGGGTGACCTAGGAGGAGAGATGGTGGGAAATTCGGGTCAGAGCTAAGGCGGGCCAGGCCTTGGGGCAGGGTCCAGATGGCAGGAAGCAGCACCTGAGGCCTGGCCCTCAGGGCAGCCTGGGGCTACCCCTAGCCTTCTAGGCCCAGGGCGCACCCTCAGGATGGCTGCCATCATCCGCCCTTAGGCTCCCCTTCTCCTGAGAGTCACCTGTTCCCCCGTAGGCCCCCTTCCCTGGGGCGCTGCCCTAGCTGCTCTCTTTCTCCAGGACCCCCTGAGGCCATACACACATACCCCTCTGCTTGCCTCTCCTCCCTGCAAGATGCTCCCTGCAGGGGCAGCTGCGGAGCCTGGGTCCCCCACCTACCAGGAGGCCTGCCCCTCATTTAGCCCTCCCCTCCACGCTGCGTCCTGGCAGCCTGCTTTCCCTGAAGCATTAGTGGAGAAGGAACGGCACCCCAGGCACAGCTGCTAAACCTCTGCAGAGTGGGGAGCTCTCCACCTGTCCTCTGAGCAACACTGAGTGGTCTCGATTGTCACTGAAACTCAGGCTCAAGTAGACTTGGCTGCTGAGAGGTGGAACTGAGGAGGCCAGTGGCCACCCAGCCCCGAAACAGCCCCCAAGTGTGGTCCCTCTCTCTCCTTTCCTCCACCCGCTCAGTTACCTGAAAGCCTGCCAGGCTGCTTGTTGGGAGCTCTCTGTCCTCTCCTCCTCCCTCACTGCCTGCCACCTCCACCCCTGAGGGAATCTGCCCCCCTCACCCCTGCACCTGCGCAGCATCTCCGCAGGCTCTCAGTCCTGGGGGTGGGTGGGTGGATGGGGTAAGAGGTGCTTGGTCTTCTTGGCTCCACACCTGAGGTCCCAGAACAATCTTCCCCCACCCACACTGTGTCAAAGCCCCTCCCAGTGTTCCACCCTTCCTCCTCCTCCTCCTCCTCCCTGTCTCTCTTCTTGCTCACATCAAAACCTCCTGGCTCTACAACCTTGCCCTGAACTGGGATCAGCCACTATGCTGGCAATGTCTGAGTCCACAAGAGGGTAACCAGTTGGTCCCTGAGGACCCCATAAGCCCCAGGGAGGACTCGGGTGGGATATTGTTCCAAGTGAACTGGGGACTGTGGAAGGTTTTGGGTTTTGAGCGCAGGGAAGGAAAGGACCCAGTGGACGGAGAAGGGGGTAAGGGGACAGGGCAGCCATGCTGGGGCCTGGGCCAGGGCTGAGGGGTGTGGTAATCCTGCCAGGCTCCTCTCTCTACCCGTGGGGCCAACTGGAGGGTCTGGGGTCTGGGCCCAGCCAAGTGGCCTCCTCCTGGGCTTGCTGGCTCCGGGTTCCCTGTGCAGGCTCCTGCTCCCAGAGCTGCGCTCTCCCCTCTCTCCCCACCCCCACCCTGGCTGCTGACTCAGGCTGTTGGAGTCGGGAACCGGACAGTCCTGCTCAAGGCAGCTTCACCTTCCTAAACAGGCATGGAGTTCACTAAACTCCAGCCTCCTGGGGCTCAGGGGCCTCTCCACTGAATCCCGTAATCCAGCTCAGAGCCCTCCTTGCTGTGTGCCTGCAGGCCAGGCCCAGACTCAGGCTGGGAGGCTGGGGACGCTCCTGTGGGCTGGGGGAGGCCCAGTATCACCCTATTAGGGGGGCAGGTCTTCTTCTGAAAATCAGTCTACGTGCCCCACCTCCACCCCCAGCTTTTCTGTGCTGCCCAGAGCCAACGGCCCAGTGCTGTTAGGGCCACGGTGGGGCCTGCACTTTGGGCCCCCACCCTTCCCACACACATTTGGGGTTTGTGTGCCAGGGCACCTCGGGGACCTCTGGGGCAGCAGGGGGTGAGGAGGGAGGCTGGACTTGCCCATTTTACAAATGGGAAAACAGTGGAAGGCCATGGGGGACATGGGTGGGGGGAGCCCGACAGCCTGGGACCCCTGGACTCTTAACTCCTGGCTTCCTGCGAGGTGGGTTTCCACTCACAGCGAGGGGCTGCTGCAGGTGAAATAAGGGGTGAAGTGAACACTGAGAACAGCGGAAATGACACAGGGCCAGGCACGGAGGGGCCACTGTCCACACAGGGCCTGAGCTTCTGCAAAGTGAAGGGACCCCTCCGCCCACCCAGGGGGGCCTCAGGTGCCAAATGATGCAGCTGGACCTTGATGGAAACAGGTGGTCCTCAATCCCCAGGGGTCCGGGGCTGGACAAAATTCCAGTAAAGACACAGGAGGTGGCTCAGGTCAAGATGGGCCAGAAAGAGGCAACCAGGGCCTTGGGCGGAAGGAGGAGCAGCTGAGGCCCAAGGGTAGAGAAGGCTTGAGAAGAGGGGGTGACGAAGCAGTTGGCAGAGTGCTCACAGGCAGATGGGAGACAACCTTGGGGTTCCCGGTGGCGGGCAGAGAGCTTTAGGTTGTACGGCTCCTGGTTGGCCAGCACTTCCCCCTCCCCTGTTCAGAAGGGTCTGGATCCCCTTCCTCACCAGCAGGCACTGGATCTTCCCTGCTCCAGCCCCCCAGCAACTCAGCTACCTCCTCCGCCTCTGTCCCCAAGGCCAGCCCGGCCTCTGCATGACCGTCCCTACCATGCCCCATACTTCCTGTCCGGCACCTCCCCTTCACTTCATTCAGCCGCCTTGTGCCTTTGGCCTAGTGGGGCAGGAGCAGGGAGGTGGGGCCATTTGCAGAGTTGCTCCTTTATTCATCCGCTTTGTGTGCGCACAGCACAGATGAGGGTCCCTCGCCAGGTCCCTCCCAAGGAGCTCCCAGTCGCCTAGTAGGCCGAAATGCAGGCTGGTGTCAAGAGAGCCTATGGGTGTCGAGGGGGTGAGGAGGGCTCTGGGAATGGGCGGGGTCCATGAGAGCCCTGGAAGACTGAGGAAGGGCCCTCCTCCCAGAGAGAACAACTTGGACAAAGGCCTAGAGATGGGAAATACTCAGTGGGCGAGCCTGGGTGCAGAATGGGGCCGGGGCGGGCGGAGGCAGGAAGGGCCTGGAATGTGTGGGTGAGTGAGGGGGTGCTCCAGGGCCTCACCCTGGGTCCAGATCAGGTCCTTTGGAGGGAGGGCCTGCACCAGGACCTCTGATCCAGGTCAAAACCTATGGTCAGGTGGAGCTGTCCTAAAGATTTTCATAGACCAGGTTAAATTCACCGTCGCTCTCCAACCTCTGTGGATTTTCCTGGGGGGAACAAAGAAATTAAAAATAGTAGGGAAAAGAACAACTTGCACTAACTTCACTCTCGTCAGAGGCAAACAAACTGATGGCCTCCTGCGCATCTGGGACAGGGAAGCCAGTCCCTGCCCCCGAGCCCGCCTCACCAGCCCCTTCCCTCAGTTCCGCCCCACCCCTGCTCTCTGCCCTCCTGCCCCGTCAGCCTCCCCTTTCCTGACTCGGTGCCTCCCCACATGCTCTTTCTTCCGTCTGGGTGGTTCCTTCGACCCCATCTCTTCCCCCCAAACCTCCTACTTGCCTGCAGGGCTTACTCAGCATCCCCAACGACCCCCCGCTCAAGCACCCTGGTCTGCGCTTCTCCGGAACCCACCTCTCAGATGGTCACATGGGGCCACAACTGTCTCTGGGTATTTGTTGGGTCAGTGACCCTGTTTCTGCAGCTCCGAGGCTACTGGGGGGCAGGGACATGTCTTACTGTCCTGGCCAGCACCCCGAGGCCCGGCGCAGGGTGGGCACTGCCTGGGATGGCCCAGGCACATTGGGTGTCCCAGGATGGAGAAGCCCGGCCTCCAGTCAGGGCCTAGTCCAGGGCAGAGTATAGCAAAGGCTTTGAGAATAGGAGATTCACCACTCAGTGCCAGCCTGGGCCCCCTGGGCTGGGGAGACCAAGCATCACTTCCTGATGGCTCTTCTAAGGTACCCATGGGCTCCTGTATCCTCTCATGCTTTATGGGGTCCAGCTCTCGGATGTTACTTAACTTGGAACTCATTTGAATTCAGGGGCACTCGGTTTTGCAGCCAAATGTCACTCATCCACATTACAGATGAGCACACAGAGGTTTAAAAGAGAATTGTGATGACGTAAAGTGTCATGGCTGCCAGCACAGCGATAAGGAGCCCTGACCAGGCCAGCCCGGGCCGGCACCAGCTCGGACTCCAGCTCCAGACCTGAGCCGACATCAGCCCGGGGGCAGCTGAAAGCCTCAAACCTCTGGCTGGATTGGCCAGTACAGACACCACGTGGGCACCTAGTGGGTCCCACTACAACACTCGATCCTCACAGTAAGCCCATATGAGCTGTCGGGCTCCTCAGTTCACAGACAGGAGACTCGGGCACAGAGGCCTGCCCTTGGCCAGGGCTGCCCAGAAGCTAGGGGGTAGAGCGCAGGTTCCAACCCACCATCGCTGTCACCACTAGGCCAGCAGCCGGGGCTCACTCCCGTAGTCTTGTTTGCCCCCTTTCACAGATGAGGAGAGGGGCAGATGGAATTAAGCGGGAGCCGGGCTTGGCTGCCCTGTACCCTGCGTACCTGCGAGAGACGGCTCCCGCTGGAGGATGTTCTGTGGGCCTCGGGCTGCATGCAGGCGTAGATTTCAGTCTCCCGGCGCTGCAGGGCCTGCAGAAGATGGCGTGAGGGTCAGAGGGAGGTGGACAGAGGGGCAGGGCCTTGCCCCGGCAGCCTGCGAGAGCTCAGGAGATGGGCGGACCCTGTAGGCCATGGTCTTCGAGGGGACGCCATGCCATGTCTGGTCACACTGCCGCACCTGTCGTGCCTGCCATTCCCTCTCTCGGAGCCACCTCACCCTCCGCGCTTGTACAGGGTGACTGCTCCCTGCGCCCCTGCCACCTCTCTCAGGCCCCTCAAAGCTCCAGCCCGCAGGCCCCAGCCATGACACCGTGGCAATAGCTGCAGTGGCATGCCCTCCAGCATCCAGCCTTACTCCCCTCATCCGAAACCCTTGTCCCTGTGAGAGTCCCCCCCACCCATCCACCCTTTGAGATCTCCCTTGACCCCCCCATTCCAGCTGGCACTCACAGGTGACCTGGGCACCCATCGGGGTCACCCTTCTCTCGCATCAAGCTGTACCTGGTTTGTCCCTTGGTCTCTGACCGTGTATGGCTGTTCATAGAACACTTCAAGAACACCACTAAATGATCCATGATGAGGGGCTCCTCACTCACCTGGGTGTTTGTTTCGGGGCCGCGCTCATTCTTGGCCCAGCTGTGAGCAGCCTGACCAGGGTGCCTCGGGATGGGTCTTTTCAAAGACCCAGGGCTTTGAAATCAGACAAGACTAAGTTCAACTCTTGTCTCTGATACCTGCCAGCCATAGGCAACCCCTGAACCTCTCTGTACCTCAGTTTCCTCATCTGTAAAGTGGAAATAATCATATCTATCTTGCAGGCTCAGTGCATGATTAAATGAGATATTGTGCATGATGGGCCCAGCACAGGGTCTGGAAAATAGTAGGTGTTTCATAACTGTTGAATCATCATCAGTTAAATGGTTGGGAAAGAGGCTTGACACCTCCCTCCCCTTTCTGTGGTCACAGCCTGGGCCCTGTTTGGGACTGTCAGAGCAGAGCCACCAACAGCCTAAGCAAGAGACAGGAACTTTTCCTTCCCGCATGTACATGTCATAGGGAAGCCAGCTGGTTGCCAAGGAGGTGGTTTCCCTGGCAACAGGCAAGCAGGGGTTGCTGAGGCAGGCTGGAGAGACAGGTGGTGCTCTGAGGCAAGGGAGGGAGGAGATGCTGAGGGGAGGAGGGAGGCGCCGAGAGGCAGCGGGGCATGAAAACCCGTGTAATAAACCATTTGGCTCTGGGGAGTCCCTCACTTCAAGGGCATCACTCACAGTGATAGCAAGGCGGCCCTGGGGACTAGTTCTAGGGGCCTCTGAGTCAGAAAACGGGTGGGTGGGTCTCGGGAGAGGTGCTTCCAACCTGTCTCCCAGTAGGGAAGGGCGCAGGGCCACCCCAAGGAGGAGCCCCAATTCCAGTGTAAGGCAACTTCTCAGGCCTGCTCTGACCCGTCGGGTTGTCACGCTTGCCCAAAGCAGCGGCCATCACCCACAAACCTGGCACAAAGCCCTGTGCCCCTACCCTCTGTCCACCCAGGCCTGGGTTTCCACAGATCCGACAGCCCCCTCCAGTTGGACGCTTCTCATCACGGAGAAGAGGGAGGAGAAGGGCCTCCTGCTGACATCTCTGCAGCGGAGCGGATCTGGGCTCTCGAACATGGCTCCCTCTCCCTCGGGTCCAGCTCACTTGAGCTGCCTGCCACACGTTGGTCCAGAGAGGCCCAGAGATGTCTCAGGTCACACAGCCCCTCTGTGGTGGAGCCAAGATTGGAACCCAGGCCTTTCCCCCCAGCTCCTTGTGCTCCCATGAGTCCAGGGACTTTCTGCGCCAGAGAAGGGCACCCTAGGACCCCGTGGGTAGCCACGGGGGGGGGGGGAGGGCAGGAGCAGCTGCAGGGGCTGAGGGCAGGGAGACCTACAGAGGTGCTGTCAATTAGCAGCTGTGCAGTGAAGCCTCTGGCAGGTCCTGACCTGCTGGCTGCATTTGCATTCAGGGTGAGACCTGCATCACCAGGCTGTGAAACACAGGGCAGCCTCAGAGGCTCTGAAGCAGGCGCTGCAGGCCTTCCTAGGTAGTGGTAAGGCCGGCCTCCTTCAGGGTGGGCCTGCTGGCAGTGGCCCACCCAGGCCTGTGCAGAGTCGGGGCTGAATCGGGCCTGGGGCTGGGCCGCACGGGGGCTGGACTAGGCGGCGCAGTGGCGATGCTGGGATGTGCTGTCCCGATAGGGAGGTCAGGCCATGGAGGGGGCAGGGAGGTTGCAGTTTTAGAAGAGTGGTCAGGAAGCTCCTGGCTGCAAAGGTGCCATCTGAGCAGAGAACTGGGGAGTGAGGGAGTGGCCCCGGGGTCAGTCACATAAAGGACTGACACCCTGTGCCCCGCAGAGGCCTGCTAGAGCAGAGGGCACAGCCAACATTAAGGCCCTGTGGGGGGAGCCATGCCCGGTATGTTCAGGGAGCAGCAAGGAGGCCAGTGTGACCAGAGCAAGTGAGTGACGGGGAGTGACAGTGGGGGGTACATGTGAACAGAGCTCTCGGAGGCCATGGTCAGGGCTGCGACGCTGACTCTGAGCAAGATGGAACCTCTGAAGGATGAGGAGACAGGAGACTGTGTTGCACAGACCCGTCCCTCCAGGGATCAGCACTGACGGAGGCCCCAGCTGCTAGGCTCTGAAACCGGTCATTGCTTGCTCACGGAGGCCATACGCCTGATGGGCTGCTCCCGGCGGGTGGTGAGCACGCAGGACACCCGCCCTAGGGGACCCTGGACTCCCGTAACTTGGAGCTCCCAGTGGCCTCGCTGAACCTTCCAGAGATGGCAGGGTGGTCAGTGCTTCCTCTCTGCCTCCCTCCCCTGTTCCTTCACTCAGGATCAGCCCCGTATCCACCTGATGGCTCTCCCGGTCTGCCCTCGTTTCTGCCCCAGGTGTTTTCTCTGATGAAACTAGCACACATGGAACCCCAGTGGCTGTTTGCTTCTCAGAGGAGCCAGACACGCCAGGAGCTCGGAGCAGAGGGGGCTCAATCCGTCTGCGGTTGGACAGATCACTCCACTGCTGCCGGGTCAGCAACACACCGGGAGGCCAGGAGGGTAATAGTCGGCTGATTCAAACCAATTGCAAGACTCCAGGCAACAAATGGTAGGGCCCCCACCAGCACTAGCCCTGGAGGGGTGAGGAGGGTCAGATTCCAGATGTGCTTTGAAACGAGATGTGCTGATGGATCGGACATGAGCAATGATAGAACACACAACTTTGACGTTTTTAGCCTGAGCGACAGGAAGCCTGGAGCAATCACTCACTGCGCAGAGGGGACCATGAGAGAGGCGCTCCCAGGGGTAAAGCATTGCTTTGGTCTGAGAGAGAAGCAGATGGAACGTCCAAATAGAGCTGACGCTAGTGATCAGAGATGTCCGGGCTGGAGACATAAATTTGGGGGGCTGCTGGAGCATGGATGGTCTCAAAACCTTGAGGTTGAATGAGAGCACCAGGAGAAGGAAGTGAGGATCAAAAAGAAAGGGTCCCAGAACTGGACCCCAAGGTTTAGAGGCCAGGGTTCCATGGGTCCCTAAGGAGGAACCAGTGAAGGAGACTGGAGAGGTATGTTTGTGAGTCAAGGGGGCATCAGGAGAGAGTGGAATATTCCAGAAGCAAGTGAAGAAAGTGTGTCAAGGAGCAGGGAGCTTTCAATGGTGCCAGATGCCCAGGTGAGGGCCAGGAGCTGACGGGTGGGCGTGATGGTGTGGAGGCCAGTGGAGCCCCTGAGAAGAGAAGAGTGGGCTGATAGCCCGCGGCGGGCGGGGGAGGCGAGAGAGAAACTGAGCACCGACAGTTCTAAGGCGCTTTGGAGAAAGCAGAGCTGCTAGAGGGGCATGTGGGCTCCAACAAGGAATCTAAGGTGGAAGAAATCATAGCATGTCCACGAGCTATAAATGCAGTATCGTGTCATTAGCCCCATTTTACAGGTTAGGGAGCCAAGACTCAGACAGGCCGAGTGGCGGGACTCATGAGCAAAACAACCAGGTTCGAACCCCGGACTGTCTGGCCCCCTCCAAAGCCATGCTGCTTACTGGGTAAATTAAACAATCTTTTTCTTTTATCGATTCTAGAGAGAGGGAAAAAGAGGGAGAAAGAAAGAGAGCGAAACATCAACATGAGAGAGAAGTATTGATCGGTTTCCTCTTACATGTACCCAGACTGGAGACTGAACCTGCAACCCAGGCCTGTGCCCTGATGGGGAATCGAACCAGTGACCTTTCAGTTTACAGGATCATGCCCAACCCACTGAGCCACATCAGCCAGGGATAATAGGTAAACCAAAAAAATTTTTAAAACTCAGAGAACTATAGCCTTTTATCCCTCATGTATTAATATATCCTGAGCACTTCCCCATATGAATAAAAAGCAAACATTGATATAATTAAGAGGAGAATACACAAATCTACCATTACGTGGGTGAATTTGAACTCACTTCTCTTAACATTTGTTAGATAAAAAACAAATAAGGGCACGGGATATTTTAAACATCAACCTGGCCTGACGGACATAAGCAAACACTCACGCAGCCATGCACAACTCACTACGCAAGTCCTTTCCGCCGGCGCACAGAGCATAAGCTGATCCATGAAGCAAGTCTCAAAAGACTGCGGGGGGTTAAAATCATACAGACTATATTCTCTGATCACAGAGGAATTAGTGAGAAATAAAAAAACAGGATAGTAACTAGAAAATAATTAAACATTTGAAAATTAAGCAAAGCACTTTCAAATAACCCATGGGGCAAGGAGGAAATCTCAATGAAAAATTTAAACTGAAAGATAATTAAAAATACAACATGTCAAAACTTGTGGGATACAGCTAAAGCCATACATAAAGGGAAGTTCATAGCTTTGATTGCATAAATTCAAAAAGAAGAAAGATTGAAAGTCAATAATCTAAGTATCCGTCCATAGAGAGTAGCAGAGGGAGTATTCAGAAATCTTTCCCTAGAGGTTGGGGACAAGACAAGGATGCCTGCTGTCACCTCTCCTATTCCCATTAC